CCCCCCCCACACATCCGGTAGGGAGTCTAGCTTATTTCTCAAAGGTTCGTTTTAATAATGTCAATCATATCCCTACAGTTTCACAATTAGTTCTAGTGTCTCCCCTTCCTACTCCGAGCCATTTTTCATCTGCTTTTTGAATCTGCTGATGAAACTAGAAACTCAAAGGCGGACCATGTGTTCGATGAATTGCCAGAGAAGTATGAAAATGTAGATTCCTTCACACTGATTACTGGAAGTAATACTATAATTCAACCTATTGAAGACATGGAGGTACCTCAAATTAGGCATGCAAAATCAGTAGAGGTGGCGGCTATGTAGATGAACCTTCTACCATTATCGAAGCGCAGATGCTCAACGAAATTTCGCACACTATATTAGCCAAGTTATCCAATGATAGCTTTTGTGAAAATGTGAGCTTGCGAACCACGATACCTACTGAGGTGTTAGATGATACGAGGGGATATAATACTAAAGAGGGGGAAAATTCACGACATAATGTAGCTTTGTTTAAAAATTCTCCTCAAAAGGATTTATCAGGTTTTCTGGTTTCTTTTGCTAGCCAAGGAATTGTGATCTCAAATGCGAGTGCAAGAATTGCTAAAATCGCATATCCATTTGATGGTGTCTTATGGCCTCGCACTATCTCATGTTTGCTTAATTCTCTTGAAGGAATTCGTGGGGGTAAACAAAGTAGACTGTCGCTTTGCCTTGTCTTTGGCGTACACAAGTGCAATTGGGTTGATACGGAACAGGAGCACAATTTTTCTGGATTCTTGTTATTTAAATCGAGAGAGCATGCTAGGGAGGACAAAATACAGGGAGTGCTCCAGGCATTTGCTGAAGGTTACTCCAAGCAGTATATTATCTTTGATCCTGGTCCTTATCTTGTGTATGTCGCACCCTATGCAGTAGGATCTACTTTTGAAGATGGAAAATATGTGGAGGAGGGCGTTGTGAAAATACGAATTGAACTTCCAACTCAGAAGTTTCCTATTGGTCAAGGGCATGATGATTTAGGTGGAGTTGAACTGGGTGTTGCAAGGTATTTTACTCTCAAATCTTCTTGTGCAACTTACAAGCTACTAGGGGAGTCTACAGAGAATTCATTGATGTGGCATTTTGGTGGTGTTACTGCTCATATTGTGGAGCAATTAAATGGACCAGTGCTACAATCTGCTATATGCGCTTACATAAACTGCAACATTCTAGCTTTTTCTCTTGCAAGTGTCAATTTGTTGGATCAGATAGCGAGGTCAAGGGCAATTTCTTTAAGGGCTGTACCGCACTCTACATCTGTTGTGAAGAGTGAAGAGGAAGATAGTGGTATATTTCTCGGCAAAAAGATAACAATATCTTTATAGGGGATATTGGAGTATTATGGTGTTGCCATAGTTAAGGATCTAACGTTTGTTCAAGTCACGTCCTTCATGGCATTACGAGTTGATATGTACACCAATCTTGTGGCTATGACTCATGTTCAAACAGTTTGCTATAGCTTGCCGAGAAGACATCCTATTAGTTTGAAATTCTTGATATTTGATTTTGATCCCACAGCACAAAAAGAGGATACTCCTAGACTCTTTTATCAACTGATGATAGTTGGTGTGTTTCTCACCAATTCTATTATCGACGTGAAGGTCAGTGCTTGCTCATTGTTGTCTGGATCCAAGTTAGAAAAGCTGTTATACGGATATTCTATCAATACCCTGATTATATATGACGTACGTATTGGTAACATAATTTGCAGCATACCTCTCAAAAGTGGCATTCCAGATTGTGTAGATGAAGCATCTCAGAGAGCTGCTGGAATTAGAAATATGCCTGCAACAGTGTATGAATATTTCTTCTATCTGAAACTTGGAGAATGTAGTTGCAATTCTAGTCTACAATTTGTCATTAATCTACAAATGAGTTGCTCCAGGAGAGTTAGCAAAAGCACATGCCTGGATGTAGATCTACAGGAGCTCAACATTAAAGCACTGGCATTGACTCTACAGTATAGTGGTAATTCTAGTAATTTGAGGGACTCCAAGATTCTTGTTATCTACTGGAAATTAATTTGGTTGTTGATATTGGGAAGATTGACCAATTCAAAGGATCCTTGCTTCATGAATCCTCTGCCTCATGCTTCCATTTTGAGAAAGCAGTTCATAAGAGTTGACCATAACTACAAAGTTTTGCTCCGATACAGTTGGTGGCCTCATCGAGGACTTATCGTCTACATGCAACATGAAGCTCACAAGCTTTTCATTTTAAGACTGCCAAAGATCCATACCAAAGAACATAGAGCTTTACAGTGTAACCTTTATAGTACTTTCCTTGAGTTACGTGATAAAGAGTTGTTGCAACACGAGAGAGGGGGTAACTTATGGATACATGGCATCACCTGTTGGTCTGGTCTCACTGTCTGGCTTAATGTTCATAACTCTTTTTTATTTCTTGAGTCGAACCTTGAGGACAGGGTTCGTTTTGAGGACGGGAGTATTGTTGTGAACCAGCCTGACTTGGTAAGGGATTATGGGCCAGAAGTGTGGAACAAGGTTAATCCAGTTGGGACTGTTGGGCCAAGAGGTAAAGGCCCAATGATTAAATAACCAAATAGAATACTGGTACGTTATATTTGGGATCCAGGGGGAGATACAGGATATGCATATTATCAAGTAAAATGTCTGCTTCTCATCTTCTTTCTCGAGTGTCTGGATCCTCTCATCTCAATTCTTAGTTTGAGCTTCTCATCCTTTCTTCTCTATCTTTTGTATTTCATTTTAGTATTTCTAATTCCTATAATAGTTTTGGGTTGAGTTGTAATTTCTTGTCGCTGTTGAAGTAATAGAAGTATTAGAAAACTGGTTTGTTACAGTGGAGGTAGAAGTCGCGTTACGGGTTTGGCCGAACCCATTCAAACATTATATTTTATGTTAAGAACTAAATTTAGAACCCAGTTATTAGTGCTTAAAGTCATCATTCTAAAATTTAGAATATGTCATTTAAAATTAAAATACTGACTTTGCCTCTGCATCCAGCTATAACATTGGTGTGGCTCTGACCTTTAGAGCCCGGACGCTCTAGCATCAATATTATAATACAACGCTAGGAAGAAACGCGACAAATTTTCTGCTTCATGCTATGTCAAAAGTGACTTTATAGCGCTAGCCATTGAAATAGTAGTTAAAATAGGGGCTCAACTAGGAAGTTCTTGCGTAACTTCGTGGCAAAGAAGCGGGTAGAAGCAAATCCTCATCAATAATGGCTATATCTGCAAAGCGGATAGCCACGTTGAGTAGTTCTATCTGCAGAGAGTAAAGTAACATATTGTGGTTATATAAAGTTAAGGGTTTGTATGTATTTGAAATCTTAGAACACTAGGTTGGTATGGCCCGTGCCCCCAACATTATACAACTATGAAATTATTCTTTTAATCAACTTGATTTTATATAAACTTGTAAATATAAAAACTGATGTTACTATCGAAACAGATATGGAAAAGTTCCACAAAATACTACCAAATGGTATGACTGTCCAAATTTTCTTTCAATTCTTATACATGTGTTTTTCCTAGTTGCAAATTACAACCTCAAACTATTTTGTCGTTTCTTGACAATAGATATTTGGGAAAAATAAAAGATAAAATACTCCAAATACTATAGCATATTCTCTTTGTTATAACTTTTTCCTGAGAAAGAAGACATCAAAGAAATAAAATCAAACCGTCAATTCACCTTTCCGCAACGCATGGTCAAGCAAAGGTCTTTAAAAATTTAAACAATTGATTGAATACCTAAAGCTTGTGTGTCGTAGCTCAAATTCTCCCTTCAGAGTTCATAGTGACCTGTGTCATACCAAAATCATCACTTGGACTATTTTGTGTTTCTTGCCTAGAATAGCATATAAGTATATTTTTTGCAACGCCACCCTTCGCTATACTTAGTGCCAATGAGCTTGATTGGGACTTGGATTTAGCTGTTATTGTCGGAGCAAAGAAAACTTGCCAGGCTGCAGATACTACAAATTAGCCTCTTAACAAGCTTTAACTAAAATACTGAAAAATAAAAAGAAAAAAAATGTAAGAAGCGTTATCAAAGATGCATGAAAACGTAGAAAAAAATATTTTGCAAATATGTATAAGATGAGCTCCTTTTTGCAATTCTGAATAAGATGAGCTCATGCATAGAAACTTTTTGCATATAAACAAAGTATAAGCAAATGACAAATTAAATCTTAACTGTTAATAGAAAATGTTGCTTTATTACTGCATTTAGTTTTCTTCTCCACATTTCTATGACCTTTCTATGACCTGCTCTTTTGCAAAAATGATGCAACAGGCTCATACTTTCAACAACCTTATTCAAAACTTGACTTATCTCCTCATATATTCTATATGAAATAAGATTATCAACGAAATATTTCGGCAAGTAGTAATAATAAGCAATGAACCATCCGAAAGTAGTATTAGTGAGCTTTCTATCTTGTCTAATCTATTAATTTAACTTATGGTTGAGAACAATCTTTCAAGTTTAAGACTTAATTATTCGTATGATTTAACTTTATCAGTAACTCAACTGAACTTGATTTAAACACCTCCTTTTCTATATGATTATAACAAGTACGATAAGTACCAACTTTCAACTCACTTTAAAAGCAATTAGTAAACTTGCGTGCAAATCTAGTATCTTGAACCATTTGATTAATTGGATCTCCCACTAAAGCATGTACTACAACTGAATTAGAAGAAATCCTAACAATCATTTCTGTGAAGCGCTAAGATTCATTAAACCGTTCCATCTCCTCAAAGCACATATATTCAATTCTTTTAATTGACTTACAACCACTTATACAGAAAGGCATGTCCTTGATCATCAATATAGCTGCTCGTATCAAACTTCTATATCCATAGTGATCATAGATGGTTGAGAGTAATCCAAAGAGCAAATCACTCCTAAGTCCTCCCAATAGGACTTCACTCTTAATCTTGAAAAAATTCATAAAAGATTTACTCCCAAAGCTACAGTATACATAAAAGAAGAATCCATATTTATGGCCCAAAAATAAAAAAGACCATTTTCAGTTGGTCATAAATTGTAAAGAAAGAAGAAAAATATAATATGATGTTACTATTAAAGTAAATTATTTGATTTATTTTGTTAAGACTCGCATTTAAAGACAGAGAGAAAAATTACCTTTTAGCCTTAAAGTTGGTATTGATATTCTTTCCAAATACCTAAAAAAAAGTGATAAACACTTTGCGATTGAACACTTTCAGTATATCTGAAAAAATTAAAGATCAAGTAGAATCTCAGCATCAAGAGGTATAGATATGAGAAATGTCACAAAAGAATGTTAAAGTTGTTGTTTCCTTCCAGTCTCTCTCGATGTCGTATGAACCTAATGTGAAGCAAGTGAAGATGCAAAAATAATACCACACTGATAATACATCTCCTATACCATCCCCAGAGCTTAGTTCAAGTGGTAATGATTGAGGAACTTTTGACGAACTTAGCCTAGTGTTTAAATTCCCTGAATTTTGCAGGCTACAGTTGGTCCTAAAGGTTGGCCCACAGTGATTTCTAGGTTATCAAAAAATACACATCTACGGTACCATCATATTCTGTTCATTTATTCTATTATGCAGCTATGAGATCATTCAATTGCAAAAAATTTCTGCTATCTTACTGTTATGACACATCATAAGCATGTGTATACATAAATGGAGACATAAGTCAACAAAACCTTAATATATATAAACTTCTTTAGACGGCTACGACCATACTATTTTCTTAATTCGCCTCAGATGAGCTTGAACTTTAGTTGCTTATGCTTTAGGAAATTGCGTAGGAAGATAGTTCGATAGAATTATGTTTGCTTCAAGTTCTGGACATATCTACATTGTTAGTTGTAACAAAGATTGTTATACCATATGACTTTGGAGTTAACTCATTGAAAGAAAAAATTATTCATACCAGATTGAACTTGTCCCATTGTCTCTTCCTGAACATAGAAGATCTAAGTAATTCTTCTCTAAAGCATAATCCTTCTCTAAACCACTACTTAATTTTTTCTGTTGTCCTAAAGTTGTTGTTTTATTTGTCAATATCATTGTTCGATAGTGATCCTGATTGGACATGAAATTTTAAAAATAACATAGCTATTCTGATGATTTTTCAATATTGGAAAACATATTGTTGAAAGTTCTGTAAATTTTAACTCTTATTACTTAAGGCTATGAAGATAACACAAGCCAACATATGCAAGAAGAAATAAATAAAAGTTACCATAATCAAATGTAATACTGAGGAAATTATCTATATTTAGAAATCGCAACCAAATCTAAGTACATAATTCAACATCTATTTTCTGAAGATTATACAACTATAACGAATTTTGAAATTAGAGTTTGAATATCTGAAATTTTCTGACCAAGTTTAATCTATTAATCAACAGAGACGCATGCATTCCATAAGCCGAAACCCAAAAAGCCTACCACACAGTCTTGATTAGACAGAGAGGGGGGCAACACTTGAGAACAAAAAAAAAAGAGTAAGGAGAGACAGAGAACGTGGGTGAAACCAAGAGATGAGATATATTACCTTTTTCTGGTGAAAATCTCCAAGTTGTCTCTCTATACTGCGGTAAGATTCTTGCCTACACTTTTTCCTTCATGCCTTATTATCTAACCCTAAAAATTCAGATCTGATTTTTAAAAAAAAAAGAGAACTTTAAAAGTTAAAATAAAGAGCATACATACAGATCAAGATATTTGGAAGAGGAGCTAACTAGTGAAGTGGGTGTACCTTTGAGAAACTAATAAAAGAAGCCATAGGAAATAGGATTCAAGAAAATTAGCAAATCGACTGAGTGCACAAAGATAGTCTAGCAATCAGTGGCCAGACATAGGGTAGTCGATTGCAACAATCAACCATCTTGAGCAGCAACAGGAAAAAAGATCACTTCCAATTTTGACTCGTCCTTTGTCCTTGGAGAGTCCTCTAACCACTTAAACCTAAAACTTGTGTAGGGTAAAGCTCCTTACTACAAAGCGGGGTATTGTTCCCTTTTATGGAGCTAGACCAGATACACAACATTCTATCTTCATTTGTCATCTTCCTCTCCCATCGTTTATCTCCTGGATATCCTCCATTTGCTTCTTGATTCCTTCACTTCCTACTTTGGTCATAGACTCAAAACCTGCTATCATTACTATTATTAGACTTCGATTGTGTCTCTACTCTTATAAATAAAACACAATCCAGGAAAAAGGAAAAATACAAGAGAAAGATTTCCCTGAACTTCTGACCTTCAACGTGCTTGTGACAAAGTGGAGCCAAATAGGTTTACCTTCTAAATTCTGCATTGAATTTATTTACCTTAACTTACTTGACTTCATAAGTACCAACTGTGGATATTACTCTTACCCTATCTTTTTCAAGAACACTTATCGTTTCTTGATTCAAAATGAATTTGTAATGTTCCGGTGCGCTTGAGCAAGAAATATAATAATACAATTGTGCAATTTCATATGAAGAACATACACCAGAACTCCTTCGACGGAAATATGTAGCAAACAGTTCATTATTCAGAACATGTACAAGCAGCCTTTATCAATCACGACTATCGTATTCGAACTATAAAGAGTTGTCGGTTTACTTATCAAAAAGGAAAAACAAAAAAAGGAAGCTAACACTTCCATTTTCTAATATTCTGCAGTATAATATGTGACACAAAAAGATCTAGTAGATATTACTGAATTGAAAAGCTTGATCAAAGGATAAATTGTGATTTTCTTTTACTGAATCGATACGAATACCAAGGCAACGATAGTCCAAATGATAAAAAATAGAATCAAGCCGAATATATGAAAATTTGAAAATCATCAGAATTCAAACAGTAATACTACTACACATGACTATAAAAGTCTTATCACCAATTTTAACGACTTGTCGATATAACGTTGCAGCTTTTATTTTTCCTAAATTCACCTTTATATGAAAATCAAATGGTGATGTCAAACAGAAATCGCACACTAAGATTTGTGCTCTTTCTAAATCATTCATATTTATTTGGCTCATGGTCGGCACCAAAAGAGGCACAAATAGTCGATTTATATCTATCACAATTCTACCACCCAAAAATATGAAATGAAGAAAAATTATCTGGTGACTTTAATATTGAACTCAAATTTCTCCAATCTGGACACGACATAACCCGACAAACGAAAAGGAAAATTTTAATCACTAAACTTCAAAATTAGTCGAAGAATACAAAGGGAAAAAAGATGAAAAAATAAGAGACGATATCAGAAACCATTAAATTTCAAAACTAACAATAATGACCCAAACAGAAGGAAGAATCAAGAAAAAAAGAGGAAAAAAAAGTAGTTGCAGCTATACTTTAGAGCGAGAAGACAAACATTTGCAATACAAGTTTTAAAAGAAATTGAATATTTAAAGCTGAACTCTTGATTTCAATTCATCTCCACAAAAGAAAAGGTTCCCCCAATTTCATTCATCAAAACCCTAATTCGAAAATTTTCGGATCTTCTTGAATATAGACAAAATTTGTCTTTAATTCAGTTTATTTCATGAATTTGAGGTAAACCTCCATTGCTTAGTGATCTTACCGTTGATATAAAAAGAATTATATGTGGGTTGAAATAAATTGGAACAAAAAAAGGAGAAACAACAGACAGATAGCAACAAAATTTATTTTGAAAAGTAAGAAATTTACCTACAAGTTGAAGAGATTTGAGAAGATAGTAGAAAATCTGAGTAAGTTCTGAATGAGCTCCATAGAAGCGTATATGTGGGAGTAGCTTAAAAGCTACATGTATTTGGGGAGCACACAGAAGGACACGCATAGATGTCATGTGAAATGACCTAAATGCCCTCAGGCTTTGTTAAAAAGAACTGAAGCGCATATGTCGAAACTCTTTCGCTTCTAAAGAAGAGAAATGTAGAATTAGAAAGGTAAAATACATAAGTTACCCCCTAAATTATGGACCAAATTCCCGAAACACATTTTTTGAGCATGAAAATTATCTTACACACTCAACCTTTTCAGAGTGTGTCTAATACACACCTCTTATTTCTTGACCAGTTTATAAAAATGTACAATGTCATGCACCAATAAGATCATGACACGTGTCATTATTAATTTTTTAAAGAAAAAAATATTTAAAATTACTCTTATATCCCTAATTTAAAAAATCCTCTAACACCTCCATCTTCTTTTGCCTTCCGTCGTTGCTATCCACCGGAAAAAAGCCATAACCACCATTTCTTAACCTTCACACAAATTTAATTTTACAATGATTTATCCATAACAAACCCAAGATCGAAAATGAAAGAGATAAAAATTGAAATTGCAACTCCTCTGTTCTCCATTTTCCTCCTTCATTTTTAGATCTTATACACAACTAAATAAAACAAATCAAAACCAGTTTTTCATTTTCATTAATTAAAGAACTCCATCGTGATAAAAATCTCAAATCTGCCTTTATATGAAAGAGGCTGAGTTGAAAATTTTAGAATTTTAGTCATTCTCATGAAATATTTTTTTTATTATTATTTAGGTAAATTGGGTGTTTTAATAGATTTTAATGATAGTAAAAGAAGCAAGAGAGAAGTTTAAAGGGGCAATTTTAGAAAAAATTTACAGCATCTTCTTTAAAAAATTTATTAGAGTTTTGGTGGATTTTTGTAATACTGAGGAAGAGATGATAGGAAGGGAAGACCAGAGGAGGGGTTTGTTGATCGTTTGGGAAGGATCTGAGACAAAAAAGAAGTTTGCCAGCTTTTTGTAATGACCCGAGTCGCTGTTTCCTATATTATGCCCCGTAAACCCCATCATCAGCTGTCTCGTTTTGCGTGAACATTCCGGGCGAGAAGCCGGAATATTTATGTGTTAAAATATTTGAAATATGGGTCAAAATTGAAGAATTTTAAGTATAATATTAATAGAGTTGACTCCGGTCAACATTTTGGGCAAAC